CTATACAACAATTCCACTTCCCTGGTACATAGACAAACCTGTTCAGCTGTTAAAAGAGGTCACTAGATGTATTTATGACAATGTTAAGACCATTTCATCCATGGAAATAATTTTTTATTGTTCTGAGTCATTCTGGTTCCTGGAATTTTAACATGAGTTCCAGGACAAGGATGAGATGATATATTTGTTTTACTTTGCATCCTCTTTAATGTTTTTGAGTGCATGAATGTCAGGCTTGTTGTTAAAGTATTTCCATATTTTTATTACTTTAGAAGTTACTCTGCTATATTTATAACTCCTAAATGCCTCAGCCATCTGACACCAACAGTGATAGCCCTTCTGCATCCTCTTCTGAATCCAACACGAATTTCTGAGAGTTTTTTGTCAATGTACTCCTGCAATAATTTTAAAATTATCTTTAGCACAATCTTACTCAAGAGTGATATTAATAATATGAATCAATAATTTCTGCATTCTGTTGGATCACCATACTTTGGCATGGACCAGCATATGGATTTTTTCCAAATAGTTGGCCAAGTCTTCTAAATTTCTTGGCAAAGGTGAATGAGCACGTCAAGTATGCATTTGCTTTTTGAAACATTTAAATTGATGTTCTAATGGATCCTTGTCTCATTAATCCATGGAACCTTGTTCTTGCCAAGGCCTTCAGCACAGCTCAAACTTTGTAACAGGAGCAGATGAAACATGAGGGTAGCTAAGTCTGACTTCTGCCCACTTCATAAAGGGGAACTGGACCACTCAATAATGTCCATAGCACCATTCAAACAGCTCCATAGTCCAACATGTCACCCCGTATTCTCCTTTAACTATTTTTACCAATTATTGCTTTCAGTGTTCATTGTTGACTCATAAACATTACTCACAATTATGAGGTTTATTAGGGAAACAGGTTGGGGAAGTGGGGAAGCAAGGAATATCACACAGTGTAAGTCCTGATTTAGTCTAGCAGGCCCAAACCAGATTAACAAGGTACAATTCTCAGTTAATGAAAATCTGATTCAGTTCAGCAGCACAAATGCAAGAAGCCTCTGGTTTCCTCAGTCATCCAACAAACATTATCTCAGAGCAGTTATAAGTCAGCTTTTCCTTCAATAATTCAGCAAACAAAACCTTTAACTGTGGCCTTTATCTCAGAGCAGTTACAAGTCAACTTTTCCTTCTGTAGCAAAATCTTTAACTCCAGTGTATGTCTCCAGGGTTCTTCTCATTACTGTTTGCCATGGTTTCTTCACAGCAGTGCCAAAATCTCTTCACAGTTGCTCTTATCTTGGTCTCACAGATGTTGATGATTTGCAAGACCATGTGTCCACCATTAAAGTAGCTGGAGATTATCCCCCCCCCAAAAAAAAGAACAGAGACTAATGCAATGGCTAGAAAAACTAATTTTTAAGGGTCCTGACACTCCAGACTTCATAATTAATACTATTGATTCTTTTTTTAAAAAAAAAAGTATTGTTTTTTGAGTTAAAGTGTATAGAGCAAATTGATTTTTCCATTTATGCATATTTTGCTTTATAGCATTAATTGTAGGTCCACATTTTAACAGCACTCTTACTACCTCCTCCTTGTGATACTCATTTCCCTTAATTCTTCTATTCTATCCACCTATAACTTCTGCATTTCTCACTGGACAAATATTGCCTTAATGTTCTTTTATGATTGATTGTTCTAAGAAATTAATACTTTCCTGGTATAGTGTTACTTTTTAACTATGTCTGTTGTTTGGCTAAAAGTTAAGCTACAAGGGTAGGTTAGGTTCCAGGCCCAAATGGTTAGTATATCTAAAAAAGAGCAAGAGCCAAGTGGGGATGGCTATTTCTGACATTTACTAACTTCACACAGGGGAAAGTCCCCTGTCAACAGCATGAACAACACAAAACGTATTCCCATGAGGTCAGACACATCCCCCATGCTCCTGTACCTTCTTCTACTCATCTCCACACCTATCTTAATGCTTTTCTGGGTCTGAAATCTAATGCAATACCTCACATAACCCTGTTGGGGCAGTCAAAAGGTTATAATCCAAGTTAGCAGAATACAATCAAGACAACTTCTGAAATGTGCTCACAAGCACCTCAGCCTTGAATCTCATGGCTTTAGGCCAGTGTTACAAACGTCTTAGTCCTGACAATATTGACTCTCCCCTTCTAGTCCTCTAACAAACTTGGGGAAGTTCCATCTTATGCCAGGTCCCTGGTTCTTTTCTATGGCTGCTACTCCCATCTGCCTGGAATCCTGAAAGACAAGTTGCATTCTCTGGTTCTCTGCTGATGGAAGGTCTTCCTTCTGATACTAGATCTGCTCAAATTAATGGTGAGATTAGCCAGTTTCCTTGTGGATCGATGAGATAGCCATTCCCTTTGTCGATAGGTTAACATAGCAAAGTCAAATTCAGTGGCTAGGAAAGTCATTTTGAACAATAACTCCACATTATGGAACATAGTCTTAGTGATCCACCAGCCTCTACTAGACCAATAAGCCTAATTATTTTTGTTATTTTCAGTTTTGTGCCCCATTTTTCTCTGTTGTGTCCAGACTCCTCCACTGTGATCCCTTTTAGAGCAGTGAACAGTGTTAGCATCATCCACTTCTTTTGGACTCAGGGTTGTTGCTGTCATTGTTGTTATTGAGTACTGTTGAGTCAGAACCAACTCCTAGCTGACCCTCCAGTAGGTTTTCAAAGGGAACAAACGACATAGGAGGAGAAATTTCTCATCATTCTGTGGAGCAGCTGGTGAGTTTGAACCACATGTGGTCCATTATTCCTTTGGACTAGCCGTTTCTGTTCATCTTTTTTTCTTATTTTACTTTTCTTTGTTCAGGGCGGGGAGAGACCAATAGTTACACCTTAAGTGGTTGCTGACAAACTGTTAAGACCCAGTTTCTGTATGATTAGTTCTTGATCATATGCTACCTCCTGATATGATTGAACCACATTCATTTTAGTTCAGTGACATGGTATTGTATTCATCTTTTATTTATGCTTCCTGTGTCTCTCAGCATAGAATCCTCGACTATTACAACTTGATGCATTTAATATATGATTTATATATAATACTTCTACTTTGTCTTCTTATCTTGCCCTTTGAAATCTTCTATCCATCTCTTTTACTTCATCATTTCTTTCTTTCCCTTTAGCTGTCCTATGCTCAGGAATAGGTTTCTAAGGTATTCTCAGTCACCTCATATGATTAAAGCTGAACAAAAAAGAACTGATATGTTTTAATTATGATACTGAATCAGAATATTGAATGGATGGCTAGAACAACAAACAAATCTGTCTTGGGAGAATTACAAGTCAGAATGCTCCTTAGAAACAAATATGGCAAGAGTTGTCTGATGTACTTTGAGAGAAGAATATTATGCTTGGTAAAACAGAGATCCAGTAAAAAAGAAGACCCTCAGTGAGATAGCTTTTACTGTAGCTTTAACAGTAAGCTCAAACAACAATGATTGTAAGATGGTGAAGGACTGGCATTATTTCATTCTGCTGTATATAGTATTGCTGTGAATCAGAAATGACACAACAATCTCTTCATTGCAATTTACTGTATGTACTCATCTTAACGATGTTTGGTAGAACTAGCTGCATTTCCTAATGATCTTTGATCATGTGCTCTCTTGCTTTTCCCTTAGTCTTGATTCCTGTATTCTTAGCCTATGACTTTAGTATATTAAAGGTTATAAAACCATACTAAACTCGATTGCCCTTGAGTCGATTCTGACTCATAAAGACCATGAAGGATAGACTAGAACTGCCCTATTGGGTTGCCAAGGCTGTAAAACTTTATGGAAGCAGACTGGTGGGTTTGAACTGAAAACCTTTTAGTTAGCAGTCAAATGCCTAAGTATAGAATCACCAAATCTCCTTCAACTTTTAAAAAATAATTTTGTTAATTTGCTGGGAGAACTAGGATGAAATTGTGACTGTTAGTATTTTGTTAGGCCTTTGTTTTTTCTTACATTAACTTAAATTTCATTAAGCTTCATTGTTCCCTGCTTTAGCCTAGAATGTCTCTGTGCTTTATACCATTCTCTGGAATCATAGGATGTCTTTGAAATTGATCCTAATTTATTTTTTTTCTTTTGCTTTATTGCAATTGTGATTATTATGTTCATTAATCACATGACAGGCTATTCTGACATTTTACAAAAAAAGTTTAAGGATAAAGTAGTGACTTTCCTGTGGGTAAGATTTCAAGTTGGTAGACATAGTCATTGCTATCCCCTTCATACAGTGTCCTGTTTGTTATTGTTAGTTCCTGAGAGTCACCTCTGACTCATAGTGACCCCATGTGCAACAGATGGCAACCATACTCACCATTCTCACAATCTCTGCTGTACTTAAGTTTATTGTTACAGTCAGTGTCAACCCATCTCCTCAGAGAGGTCTTCCTCTCCTCTTACCCTCCGCCTTTCCAAGCATGATGTCCTTTTCCAAGGACTAGTTCTACCTAACAGTTTTTACTAACTGACAGACTGGCTTATGGCTCAGAATTAAGCCATGCCATTTACTGGCAAGGGTAGGGAGAGTGGGTACACCTCCCATCTGTCTTGACTCATACATTCTAACTAGTCAGCCTCTAATAATGCCATAACTAGTCATCCTGCAACAATGCAATAACTAGGCACCCTGCAACAGTGCCATAACCAGTCACCCTGTAATAATGCATACCTAGTCAGCCTGCGACAGTGCCTCAACTAGTCATCTTCCAGCAATGTTTGTTAGTATTCTAACAGAAAAGTAAACTGTAAGATGGGGCTTAAACAGACACTTTATAACTGGTACTTTGCTCTGTTACAAATGATCATAAGAGGTTCTACACTGGGATGTATATGCTACATATATCCACATGGCTGTGGTTGGGGTGGTCATGTATCTGTGCACAAGTAGAATTGTCAGTGTTCTGATTTTAAAGGATTATTTTTATGGCTTTGAAATGACAGGATATTAATCTGGGTTTTTTTTTAAAAAACAGGTTGACATGATGAAAGAAGCATTAGAAAAACTTCAGCTGAATATAGTAGAGATGAAAGATGAAAACGCAACTTTAGATGGTGGAGATGTCCTGTTTACAGGTACCTTTGTCTTTCTTTTTTCTATTTAAAAAATATTTCTAAAAATAAAAAAAAATTCTAAAAATAGAATTTCTAACCCCTGCCTTATAGCAGTTTATTTCATTATAGGGTTTTGGTTTTCTCATTTAAAATGTTGTTCTTGTTGGTTGCCATTGAATCAGAACCCACTCATAGCTGACCCTCCAGCAGGTTGTTAGAGGCTGTAAATCACACAGAGATAGTCCATTTTTCTTCCTCAGAGCAGCTGGTGAATTTAAACTGCCTGCCTTTGGGTTGGCAGTGCAACTCTTTACCACTCAGCCACCTCGAGCTCCCTTATTAGAAACGTAATTGACACCAAATGTAGGAATTTGGAAAATAGAGAAAATACATGCCAAGATAGATACTTAAATATTTAGGTAATGTTTTTAAAGATATTTTTGTATGCGTGTATTTCCATATTTTTACAAGAATATTATCAGTCTGTACAAACCATTTTATATCTTTTTTTTTCCATGTCCTACAACATGAGTTTCTAAGTTGCAGTATTTTTTGTTCAATGACTGTTTATCTAGTTTGTATTTAAAAGATTGAAGATTGGTGTCGTTTATAGATCATTTTCTTCCCAAGTGGCAAGATGAATTTAAATAATTTTACATTCAAATTGACTTGGATTAATGCCACATGAATAATAAAAAGAACTCAACAAAATATAAGTAGCTAATATTATTACTGATTTAATTGGAATCTATTTTTACAGTGGATATAATATGGCTTCTAAGAAATAGTAATTTTCGTATCTAGTAGCCTAGTTGGTAAGGAGACATAGTATTTTCATTGTTGTATATGTGTCTGAGAGGAGGTCTGGTGGCCTAGTGCTAAGAATTTGCACTGTAATTCTAAATGCATGTGGTTCGAATCTGCCAGCTCTGCAGGTGAAGAATGAGCAGTCTCCTCCCTTGCAGTTAACTGCCTCTCAAAACATGCCAGAGGGTCAGCTATGGGTCGGTTAATGACACACAACAAAAATGACTGATGTGGGGGTTGGGGGGAGACTAAGAAAAGGGGGCAAATAATGAACACTGCAAGGGAACAGATGAAAGAAAGAACTGTTTAAAAAAAATAATATTAGGCATTATACGTACGACAACAACCCAGAATCAGAGGTACATTGCAGAGAAAACTGGGGTGGGGGGAAGGAGGTAATTGTACAACAATGAATGAATACTTTTTTTAAAGTGAACTAGGGGCGGGGGAAAGGAGGGAGAGGGCATAAAATGTGCAATGATGAATGAATGAAAGTCTAACTTTTCTATAAACTTTCATTAAAATTACAATTAAAATTGAAATTTTATTAAAAAAAAATACCAACAAGAACAGAGTAGAAATACACCTTAAGGTTTCAAAGACTATAAATCTGCAGAAGCAGACTGCCACACGGTCTCCTAGGGAGCAACTAGTGGGCTTGAACTACTAACCTCTCGGTTAGCAGACAAACGTTTAACCACTGTGCCACCATGGGTTCTTTTTTTCTTTTTAGCTTCATGATAGTTTATTTTAAGCTAATTTTTTAACACTTTGTAGTTTGGATGAGTTTATAGAACAAGTTAATTTTCCATTTAATAACTCATATGTATTTTGTTTTATGACAATATGGCAGCACTCTTCCCAACTCTTTCACCTTGCCTCCCTATTTCCATCTGTCCTACTTTCCTGCCCTTTTCTGACTTCTGCACTGAAAGGAGCACCGTTAGTCTCATATAAATTATTTATTTATCCAGTAATTTTTCTCTGTATAGTCTTCATTGATAAAATTTTCATCCCTGGTAGAGTTTTGACTAAAACATGTTGGGAGAAAAGACCTTTCATCATAAAATGTTTCATGATCTCTTTCCTTTCCTAGGAACATATAGACAAAAATCCTTGTGAGCTTTAAACAAAACCTTTTTTATAAATGTTTTCTTTACATTTATAGTGACAGTTTATTTTCCCCTGAATATTTGTTTCACCAAAGTAGTCCAAATAACAGGCTGGTCCCTATGAGACTGGGAGTATAGTCTACCAGTGGAGTGACCCCATGGGAACATGAAGGGTTTCAGCAGTATACTATTTTAGCTGATGTGAATTTTACATTGAATCCCACTTGTTGTTGTTGTTGTTATGTGCTGTCGAGTCATTTGCGACTCATAGCGACCCTATGTACAACAGCCCTAAACCGTCCTCTATCCTGTGCCAATCTCATTGCCTCTGACACACCCATC